TTTCCAGAATTAAGCTATAACAAAAAGCTCTCAGCAGAAATTAAATTTTCCCAAAAAGCTCGTACTGTATTTCTAAATAAATTATAAAATCTTTATCAAAAGCTTTAAATAGCTATAAAATTTTAATAGAATATAGTAAATTTCAAAAGAAAAACTGCTTGACTTTAAGCTTTAAGCATTTAAGTCTTAATAGAAAAATATTAATAGCAATAAAGTTTTATTAAAAAACAACAACATATTTAAAATCTACTTCAGATTATTTACTCAGACAACTTTTACTTAAAAGAAACCAGGTTTTGTGTAAAATATTCAATCTACCAAAAGCTTTGATTAATACAACTTTTAAGAGCAGGTTATCCAAAAGCTTTCTTCACTAGACGCACAATATTCTTCAAAAAGCTTTGAGCATCTTTAAAGTTTCTATATAAAATTTCAAGTTTCCACAAAAAATAACAATCCTGTGCTTTTGAAAAACCTTAATTACTAAAAGTTTTTACAGAAAGTTTTGACAAAGTTTTCTTAATTCTGTTTTAGATGACAAATGTTGTTTAAAAAGCTTGCAGCTTTCAAAAATATCTTTAAATTTTCAATATAAAATTTCAAGTTTTATTAGATGGCAAATGTCCTGTTATTATAGAAGATCAAACCAATAGAACTTAATTTTTCATAAAATCTTTCAGCATCTTTTAATTTTCGGCGTCCACTAAAAGCTTTTAATAGCAGGCAAGCCCCTACATACTTAAAGCTTGAATTACTAGAAGATTTTACAGCGAATTTTCACAAAAGCTTTATGAAATATCAAATGTTTCTCAAAAAGCTTTAAAAAACCATGATAAGCACATCAGTTTTCATGAAAAGCTCTCTGAAGCCGATCGATCTGGTATTTGTACAAAATATTCAACAAGTTCCATTTCTTATAAAAAGCTTTCAGCAATCATAAAGTTTGAATTACTAGAAGTTTTTACAGCGAATTTTCACAAAAGCTTTATGAAATATCAAATTTTTCTCACAAAGCCTTAAGAAGCCATAAAAAGCACATCAGTTTTCATAAAAAGCCCTCTGAAGCCTATCGATCTGTTGTTTGTACAAAATATTCAACAAGTTCCATTTCTTATAAAAAGCTTTCAGCTAACAAGAGCTACTTTTAATACTGTAAGTAAAATTTCAAGTTACTTCCAAAAGCTTTTATTAATACAACTTTTAAAAGCTCGTTATCTGAAAGCTTTCTTCATTTAAAGCCCAATGTTTTTCAAAAAGCTTTTATTATATTTATATTTTTTTATATAAAATTTAGAGTTTTCAAAAAAAAGCTATAAACAGTCTATAGAATTTCAAATTTCTTTGATTACTACAAATTTTTAAAGCAAATTTCCACAAAAGCTTTCTTAATTTTTTAATAGGTGATAAAGCTTCCTCAAAAAAAAAAACTTTCAGCTTTCAAAAGTCATTATAGAATACACATCAATAGCACTTGGGTTTTCATAAAAAGCTTTAAGCTAAATTTCCTATCTAAACTTTAAACTTCCACAAAAAAGCTATAAATAGCAATAGTGTGTCTATAGAATTTCAAGTTTCTCCTAGAAACTTTGATTACTACAAGTTTTTAAAGCAAATTTTCACAAAAGCTTTCTTCATTCTTTATTAGATGTCAAATGTTCTCCTAAAAGCATTCAGCTTTCAAAAGCCATTATAGAAATCTCATCAATAGCACTTAGGTTTGCATAAAAAGCTTTCATCATTTTTAAATTTTTTTTCAGCATTTTTAAAGTTTTTATAGCCAATTTTCACAAAAGCTTTCTTCATACATTCTCTATTCAAAGAGCTTTTAGCTTTAAGAAGCTATTATAGGAAATCGGTTAGATTTTCATGTAGAGATTTTAGCGTCTGATAATTTTCTATGTAACATTTCAAGTTTCAATCAAAAGCTTTAAATCTTAATAATTTCTACAAACTGTTTAAATACAAAATCTTTTTACCAAAAGCTTTTTTTAGCAATCTAAACTAACATTTTATTTTCTATGTAAAATTTTTGTTTAAAGTAGCAATCAATCACAAAAAGCTTTAAGTTTAGTAAAATATGTATCCAGTTTCTACCAAAGGATTTAAGTTTTAATCCCACAATTATCAATAGATAAAGTTCAATAGCTATTAAAATATACAAAATATTTTTGTTGTTTAATTGGAAAATGAATTGTAGTTGTTGTTTACAATTTTGTTAAAAAAAATTTGCTACAGTTCAATGACTTTTATGCAGGTTTTTTCAACAATATTATTCAAAAATAAAACAAAATATGTTGATAAACAAGGGAGTGAAAGAAATTGATTCACTACTCGATTTTAGATGAAATCAAAATATACATATTATTACAATAAACAAAAAACAAAATGTATTTATATAAACTAAAACATAAATACACTCGGGATTATTATAATAAAAGCACTTAAATTGTTATAAAATATAAAACTATTGTTTGTTTTTGTGTTATAAAAATATTTAAATAACATTTAATTCATTTTATAAAATATTAATAATAAAGCTTTTTAATAGCTTTATTTATGTAAACTGTACTTTTTACTATATACCAGAGTGTTTATATTTTTGTTTACTATTTATTATTATTGTAATATATGTAAGCAAGTCCTAAAAACTTGACTTTAAAGTAGATTTTCCTTGGCATGCATTAAACATTTTAACTGACATACAAGTAAACTCTTATATTATTTTTTTAGCCGGCTTTTGGTTATAGATCCAAATCCCTGAAAAACATAAACAACTTTTTTGTTGCTTTTAGCAGGAATTACCGGCGAAAAAATAACATAGAAGCTCCAATATTTGTTTACATTTTGTTGAAAAAAAAAAAAAAAAAAAAAATCAAAAAATAAAATTAAACAGCAACGTCCTGTATTTTTATGGAAAATAGTTTTTACCTCAATATTGTAAGTGCACAATAACAGAGTGTGTAGCAGCAGTAGAGAAACTGAACCAAACAATTTGAAAAAAAGCTATATAGAGAAGGGGCAAAGCACTTAAAGCTAAACAAAACAAACCATGTTTTACTACATACATGATCTTTTTCTACTGAAGTATTCGCCAATGTTGTGAACCAACAGAGCTTTAAAAGAATTATATCTAAAGTTCAATATTTGTATATTCTACAGCCTAAAAGTAGGCTACATGTTTGGTTTTCGTTTTAGCCTTAAAGTATGTTAAATATTTCATTAGTTAGAACTTGAGTATAGAGAAGTTTAGTTGCAACTAAAATATGAACTTCACTTTAACGGGTGAAACTAGCCAAAAGCTGTTTTTGAAAAGCTTTAGCAGAGAAGTTCAAACATTTTACAATTTCAGAATGTTTTGGTTAGAGTAAAGAAAGGTAAAGACAACTAAAATATCAACTTTGTGTAAAGTGCTGAGAGAAGTCAAAAGCTGTTTTAAAAAAGCTTTTTTTAGAAAAATATGAGTTTGATTTGAAATATTATAAGTTTCTAAAATAAGTTTTAAAACTTTATAAAGTAGTTTGAAATTAGAACAAAATTCATCTACAAATTTAAGGAATTTAGAATTTCGAAAGCTTTTTATTAGAACCTAAGAGTATGCTAAACATTTTGCTATTTAAAACAATAAAGTTCAGTGGTTAAAAACGATTAATGGTAAAGACAACCATAACATGAACTTTAGCAAAACTGATGAAAGTAAACAAAAGTTTTTCAAAAAGCTTCAGCAGCAGCAGTACGTATGCTAAAAATGTTGGTATTTAAAACTTGAGTACAATAAAGTTTAGTTGCTAAAAACGAGGAATGGTGAAGACAACCAATATATGTACTTTATCTTAAATGATGAACATAATCAAAAGCTTTTTGAAAAAGCTTTAGCAGCAGTATGGAAATTACACTTTTTTTAAAATTACAAAGTTTGCTTATTAATTTCGAAATCAAATTAAAATTCAGATGAAATTTGAAAAAAGCTGTTTTAGCATAAAAAAGTAAAATGATTTTGACTTGTATTATTAGAGTCTAAAGGTATAATTTCTTAAGTAAGAAGGGATTTATAGAGTAGTTTAAAATTGGATCAAATTCACTTACAAATTCAATTTAGAATTTCTAAAGCTTTTTGTTAGAACCTAAGAGTATCTAAACATTTTATTACATAGAACTTGAGTACAATTAGGTTTAGTGGTTAAAAATGAAATATGAATGGTAAAGACAACCGAAATTTGAGCTTTAACTAAACTGATTAAGATAATCAAAAGCTGTTTTTAAAAGCTTTACTGCTGCTAAAGCTTTTTAAAACAGTAAAAGAAATTTAAATTAGTTTAAAATTAAAAAGTTATTTACTTATAAAGCTTACAGTTCGAAATCAGATCAAGTTTTAGCTGAGCTTAGTCAAAAGCTTATTTAGAAAAGCTTTAGCAGTAAAATGATTTTGACTTGAAATATTAGAGGCTAAAAGTTTAATTTCTTAAATAAGTTGAAGGGATCTTTAGAGTAGTTTGAAATCACATCAAAATTGACTTATAACTTAAAGGAATTTAAACTTTCGAAAGCTTTTTGTTATAACCTAAAAGTATGCTTAACATTTTATTACATAAAACTTGATTACAATAAATTTTAGAGGTTAAAAACGAGGAATGGTAAAGATATTCAAAATATGAGCTTTAACTAAACTAATGAACGTTATAAAAAACTGTTTTAAAAAGCTTTAGTAGAAATATGTAAGAGAATTATAAAATTTTTTTAAAATTAAAAAGTTTACTTATTAATTTAGGTTAAAGTTCAAAATCGAATGAAAATTCAGCTAAAATGTTTTAAAAGCTAACTTAGAAAAGCTTTAGCTGAAATATACAAAATAATTTTGAATTTAAATATAAGAGATCTAAGCTGAGGTTTTAAAAAATTTTTCAAAATCTTAACAAACTTTAGTGGTAAATTTTGAAATTGTCTAAAGCTTTTTATATTTACAATACTTTCAAACTCTGCTATTGTTTGTTGTTGTTGTTGAATGTATGCATATGTTTTGCACTTTATTTGCTTTTTGTTTTTTTGTACTTGAATTTTTGTTCATATAAGGATTTTTCTTTTGGTTTATTTTGCTGCCATAACAACTACCCCATTATTGGAATTGTACTTGTACCACATTTAAGTACTCGGATGGCTTTACAATAAAAACAAAAAGCTATACTCTGCAACTAGTTTTTTTTTTTGGTTGTAATCTATCCCAATGCCTGATGCACCTTGTTATGAATTTCGCTTTTTATTTTCATTTCTTGCTCTTCACAAATTGTTCGTTTTTTTTGGGTGCTTTTATGAAGCTGGTGAAAGATTGAGACCACTTAACTAACATTTTATAATAATTAAGAAAAAAAGTTAACAAAAAGGTTTCTTTTTTATGTCTGATGATATTGTTTATCATTATTTCTTGAAGTGGAACAAATGTTAGTTATATGATGTTATAATTTCACCATTGTTATTTGGGTTTTTGTTTTTCTTAAAATATAAGTAAATATGAAGCGTATACAGACATACATTTTATATTTTTACATAATTTCATTAATGAATTCTTGAATACATTTTCATTATGCTGCTGTTCTCGATAATACACAGAAAAAGTTTTGTTATCTTTAGATTTTGTAGTTACCTCCATGTAATTTGTATTGCAGCAACTAAAAAAGTTATTTAACAAAATCAAAGTATTCGACTAACCAAAGAAATTTAGTTGCCACAACTAATCAGAAATCAACAAATTTAATTAAGCTTTCGCCCTTAATTTTCAGGAGACTTATACTGGTTGAGACAACAGATGTGTGTTTATTTGAGACAATTATTATATGAATATTTTAGTTGTTACAACTGAAATAAACATTTGATGTTTTCAAAACAATTGTTTCAGTGTATTTAAATATTTTATTTTTATGATTTTTGGGAAAACATCTTTTTATATTTATTTTTCATTTGAGTGCTTTAAATTTACACATACACTCGCACTCAAAGAATGCTAAATAAAGTTAAAGAGGGCTGATAAATATAAAAAAAGTTTGAAGTTGTGTTTCTTTTTTATTTTTATTATTTTGTAAAATGTAAATATAATTGTAGATTTAATTTTAATGAGCACTGTTGTTTTTCGCGTTTTTTGTTGTTTTATTTTTTTTAGTAAATTACTGGAAATTTTATGTAGCATACTTTTAGTGTGTTAATAAATAAGCATATTCATTGTATACCTTTTGGAGTGCTTTAAGTATTTATGCAATTTTTGATTCAAAATAAACTTTGCAATTAATTAAATATGAATTTTGATTAATATTTCAAGGAAATTAAAACAAAATATTTTGATTTAAAAGATTTGAGCGAGGTAGAGCTTTGTCTGTTTCAAGGAGTAAACAAAATTTGTCTTATTTTAAGAGCTTTTTTTTACTTAGAAGTATTCACAAAAGACCTATTCGTATCTAAGTTAACCAAATCTCTGAGCTTTGTTGTAGTTATACACTCGAAAAGAGTTAATTTTATAACCAGTAATGTGTAATGTATTTAAAATATTTTTTTATTGCGTTTTAAGTTTAAACGTATTAATCATAAATATCATGCATAAAGTGTTTTAAATGTTGCACAAAATAATAAAATGCTGACGCATAACTTAAACACTTTTATGAAATCATTACAGCGCACACAAAAAAACACAACAAATATTCGCATAAAGATAGAAGTAGGAATATAAAAAAAAATAAAAATAAATGAGCTCACATCATAATAATGATTAAAGCAAAAAACTAAAGGAAAGGAAATGAAGAGACTTAGGTTAAGAATAAAGAAGGGCCTATCCGCATTATCATTACAATTAATTTTGTAATTAAAAAGCTTTCAGCTAGAAAATCAAAAAAATAACTTCTTAGATACTCTGGGTTTGAAAGCTCTAACGGTTGAATAACTATAAAACTTTTAAGTAAAATAGTTTAAAAGCTTTCAAATTATGTAACTGTTTAGCAGCTGTTTTGGATACCTGAAAGATATACAGTGTCAAGCTTTAGCTGTATTTTCAAAAGTTTTTAAGTCGTACTTTTAAAGAGATTTCTATACATTGAACTACAAAAAAAGCTTTCAAGTAAAGTGGCTTAAAAGCTTTTAAATAATACATTCGTTCATAATTTGCTTAAGAAAAGCTTTCTGCAAGATGTTAAGACTCTGCGTTGATTATATAAGTTTTATGTCTGAGCTGCAAAATTCAAAAGCTTTTGAATCGTGTATTGAGAACCTTTGAGACTACGTAAGTAATCTTTTAAACAACAAAGAACTTTTTAAGTGGAAAAGCTTAAAAGCTTTCAAATAATGTAACTGTTCATTAGCTATTTAAGATTACTGAAGGATCTTTAGATAATAAGTTGGTTATCTAAGAAGTTCGGACGTTTTTAATGCAAGTAACTATTTCAAAAAAGCTTTCTGTTTTCTGGTTATCTAAGAGTTGCGTGCCTTAGTTAGCATTTCACTGGTCTTTAGGGAATCTTTACAGATGTTACATATGTACATAAGTGCTGTAATTAAATTATTGCAAGAGTTTTGTTTTTTTTTCAATTGTGTCTCTGTTGTTTTTATTGTTTTTTAAAGCTTACTAATAAAACAAGTTTTAAACAAGGTGTAAAACGCAATATTTCGCCTCTATTTCTTAAACGTTTGTTTTTCTGAAAAAAAAAAATATTTCAAAAATTAAATAAATGAGCAGATTGCAGAGTTATGAAAAAAATGCCAGGAAAATAAAGAATTTATTCTTAAAAAAAAATAATAAAAATGGTATTAAAAAGCAGAAAATTGCTGAAAATTTATAAGAGAAAATATGTTTCCAGACTAGAGAAAAATTTCATAATATGTATAAGCTTTTTAGTCTAGTATAACAGCAAACAAGACAAAATAACAACAGTCACATTGTTATGTAAAGAATTTGCTAGCAAAAGCTTACATTAGCAAGCCAGACATTACCAAACCCCTGACAAGTAATGTATAAGGTGTTTAATAAACGACCTTTTGCGTTAATATTTTTTTAACATTAAAGAATTTGAATTTCCTTGAAATTAAAGAGTTTTAATTTCTTTAAAATTCTAAAGCTATGACTAAGTTTTTGCAACTTTTTGCACTTCATCTTTTTTTTGCGAAATGTGTAATAAATATATTCTGTAAACAACCGGCATTTTTATCATTGGCATCATCATTAGCAGCAGCAGCAACAACATCTTCCTCGCTATTGCCAGCCTCTTCAAATACAATAAGCTTTGGTCGTTTACAGTTGATGGACTTTAAAGTTTCATCTCTCTTAGAATTGATTTGAGGAAAGTGTGTTCTGCTCCGTTTTTATTATGTTGTATTTTTGTTGCATCAAGCATCAAATTTATACATATACTATAAAAATAAATAAATAAGCGTAGCCAAAGCCATTGTACTTTTGGCGTCACTAGTTTCTTTTTTTTTTTGTTAGTTCAAACGACCGGCAGTCAGCCAGAATTCAGTGAAACCATGGTTTTTAGCACAAGAACTATGTATGTATGTATGTACGATGGGTATATGTAAGAGTTTATATTCTGTTATAATAAAGGTTTGAGGGACTATCACTGGGTCTTTGTGGTCAATGCAACCAAGGCAAAATAGTATGTACAAAAATATATATTTTCTTTGTTATGCACTTTTTTGTAAAGAGGCTCCTCATCAAAATTTACTTTTACTCGTACCAATAAAATGCCAGGGATTGTTTTTTTTTTTTGCAAAAAATATAGCAAAAAGAGCGAAAAACACCAAAATTTATATAAAAAACTTTAACCACAAATACTACAAATTCATTTCATTGCGCTGTTCTTTGTATCATGTGATTTTTTTTGATCTTTTGTTTTGTACAAAAAAGTTCATTTTGGAATTTATGCCGAACTGACCTCCTCAATAATTTTGTGTGTATGTTATTTTCCATGTTGAAGATTTTTAAGCATCAAGTGTTGATAAAGAGCTTTTTTTTCGTTGAAAATCCAAACAGGAAATGTCTTATATTCGTATTTTATTATTTTTAAGAAATTTCCATAAAAAAGTATAATTCTACTTTATTTTAAGATAAAAATAAATAAAGTATTTTAAAATCAAAATGTTAAATACCATAAACTTTAATGTATTTCTGTTGATTAAAGCTCATACCTATTTACGTTTACCTTGAAATTGATAGAGATCTTCTTAAGCTTTTAGAAATCTTACTTTGTAAAAACCATATCAAGTTGATCATTTTGCATAAAAAAGCTCTTTTTCAGTTAGATAAACAATTTAGAAGACGTAGAAAGTCTTTCTCTTAATCATTACAATTTACTTTCATATTCAAAAGCTTTCACCTTAAAAATGACTTTTTGGATACTCTGAGTCTGTAAACTCAAAAAATATATCAGCTATTGAAGTGTTAGTAACATTCTAGATTTTCAAAATATAAGGAAAAAAGTTTTCTGAATGAAATATTCAAAAGCTTTCAAGATAGTACATTATAAAAGCTTTTATGCTACTGAAGTGTTAATAAGCTGTAAACAAGTTTTCTACAGGAGATTTCAAAAAAGCTTTCATAGAGGAAACAGCTACAAAGTTTTAAGGGTATGAAACTGTTATAAAATTGTATAAAATCTTTATAGATAACATTTTAGAAAGCTTTTCTCATACAACAGATACCAAGTTTATATGATATTGTCCTTTAAATAAGCTGCAAAAAAGCTTTCTGCAGGATATTTTTTAAAAGCTTTCACAGTAGAACAGCTACAAAGCTTGTATGCTATTGAACTGTTGATAAAGCTTTCTGCAATAAAGTACATCTACAAAGCTTTAATGCTATTAGACTTATAATAAGCTGCACAAAAGCATTCTGGAGTAAATTTTTAAAAGCATAACTACAAAGCTATTATTCAATTGAAATAGTACACTGTGAACAAGCTTTCATAATAGAACAACTACAAAGCTTGTATGCTATTGAACTTTTAATAAGTTATAAAAAAGCTTTCTGCAATAAAGCACGCATACAAAGCTTTAATGCTCTTTAATATGTAATAAGCTGTAATCAAGAATACTGGAGGAAATTTTCTAAAGCTTTCAAGATAGCATAACTACAAAGTTTTTATGCAATTGAAATAGGGAACTGTGAACAAGCTTTAAAATAACATTCTCAAAGATATTTGCAAAAGCTTTCATGATAGAGTACCTACAAAGCAAACCTATAAATAAGCTGCAAAAAAGCTTTCGGCAGAATGTTTTTAAAAGCTTTCAATATGGAAGAGCTACAAAGCTTGTATGCTCTTGAACTTTTAATAAGGTATAAAAAAGCTTTCTCCAATAAAGCACGTATACAAAGCTTTAAAGCTCTTAAACATGTAATAAGCTGTAATAAAGTATTTTGGAGGAAATTTTCTAAAGCTTTCATGATAGTATAACTACAAAGCTTTTATGCATTTGAAATTTTAAAAAGCTGTAAAAAGCTTTCTTAAGGAAATTTTCAAAAGTTTTACAGATAGAACGTTGCGATTTTGTTTTATAAATCTTTTATATAATAAAAATTTATTTACGAATATGGGGAAAGGATTTCTTAAAAGCTTTTTTAGTATTCTATCTATTTCCTGATATTGAAAGTTTAAAGTTGCTCAAAAAGCAAAGTTTGAGCTTTTAAAATAAGTTTGATCTCGAGGCTGGAAAATTCAAAAGCTTTTATGTCGTGTTTTGAAAAAGCTTTTTCAATATTAAGAGTTTATTTTACAACCTGTTAGCTTTAAAAACGTTTCTTTGTGACAATGATATGTATATACGATTGAAGCTTTAACATTTTAAATTTTAGTATGTAAAGCGAGCTTTAGGCTTTTAAATTAAATAGCTCGTGTTATAAGAGACTCTAGAACTTCTAGTTTTTATTAATTGAATGCATATTTATTTTTATAACAAAAACTATTTGCTAAATATTTCCCAAATAATGAAAGCTTTTCTTGCTTTTGTTTTCCATTAATAAACCATTTGACATAATTTTTTCCTTCTTCTTACAAAACTTGACATTTTTAAAATAATGTCTTAATATAACTCATTAATTTCGCCTCAAGTAAAACCCTGCCGAAAATTAATTAATAAATCTTTTATATTACTTTTTATGCTGTTTGTTTTTAACCACTTCAAAATATGCTCGATCATACTTTTCAAACCACTACTACGCTTAATAAAAAGCAGGCAGTCAGGCAACCAAGCTTTAGGAAATTGTTAACAAAAGAATAAAAGCAACAAAAAATTTAACTCCAGCAACAATTTATTGTTATTGATGGTAATGACTGTTGTTAAAATAACTAAAAGAAATTAATGCTGTTTTGTAAGTTTGCTACTGTTTCAGTTTCAGTTAAAGTTAATCTTTTAAATGACTCTTATGCTTGCAAGTTTGTCCGTCAGTTGGTTGGTCTTCTATATATGTTAATAATGATGTTCGTGCCCCTTTTTACTGTTGTTTTTGTTGTTGTGATTACATATTCATAAACATATTTAAGCCTTGCCTCATATAGAGTCTATATCATATATCATGTTGTTGTTGTTGCAGCCCAGGGTAATAAGCAAAAAGTGGAAAAAACTATATATAACTGAAAAGGAGTGGTCATGGTTTTTATTTTCCATTTATACCACCAAAAATATTTCCAGTAAAAGATGTTGATTCGTGATTTTGCGTAATTATTTTGTGTCTGTATAAACTATAGTAATGATGTTGTTTAAGCTTTCTGTAATGGCTAATTGATTTTTTCAACAATGATTGATGCTTATGGTTTTAGGGGTGCCTCTTTGTTGTTCTTTAAGGTTTTTTTAGGAACTTATTTTTTTTTTTGTATTTTGTAATAAATTTTTATATTTTATGATAGTTTAAGGGAATATTGTTACAAACTCTTAAGTAGTGACTCCAGTAATAAGGTGTTAACATAATTAGGGTTTAAAATGTATTTTTACTTAATTGAAGACAAGGTCAAGTGGTCGTTATCACTTGAGATATGTTTTGCAGGAAGCAACTTACCTAAAAAGAGAAAGAAACGAAATAATAATTAGTATGAAGTATTATAAAAAGAAAGGAATAAGAGTAAAGTGTTACTTAAAAAAGTATATATGTATAGTATATCATTATATAGGGAATGGTGTAAGGCTTTACTCAACATTATTTCAATTTATAAAAGAAAAATCGTGTTTTTTTTATAACTATTTAAAGGAAACTATAAGTACTTGAAAACAAAAGTTTCTTTAAACTATTAAAATGATCAAAATCCAATAATATTCTAAGATTATATTGAAAGCTTTCAAATACGTCTAAAATTTCAATTGAAAGCTTTTGGTGAATAAGGAAAAGTTTTTAAAATGAGCAAACAGTTCATGATAAAAGTCTTGTCAAGTTTTTAAATCATCAAAATCCTAAACATCTTAGATACTATTACTTAAAAGCTCTCAAGCTTAATTAAAACATAAAAAGAAATTACCTTCAAAAGCTGATCAAAATCCAATAATATTCTATGATTCTATTGGAAGCTTTCAAATATGATACAAATTTTAATTGTAAGCTTTTGGTGAAGAAAGAAAAGTTTCATTAAGTTTTTAAAATAAGCAAACAGTTCATTATAATAGCTTTGTCAAGTTTTAAAATCATCAAGATTCAAAATTTCTTAGCTACTATTACTTAAAAGCTCTCAAGCTTAATTAAAGCATAAAAAGAAATGCCTTCAAAAGCTTTAGTTTAATAAAATTTAAAATTTTTATTGAAAGTTTTCAAATACGACTCAAATTTTAATCGAAAGCTTTTGGTAAAGAAAGAAAAGTTCCATTAAGTTTTCAAAATGAGCAACTATTACCAAATGGTGATGAAATAAAAGTTTCATTAAGTTTTTCATGATAAAAGTCTTGTTAAGTTTTTAAATCATCAAAATCAAAAATTTCTTAGATACAATTACTTAAATTACCTTTAAAAGCTTTAGTTTCATAAAATATCAATTTTATCAATCTAAATTTCCAAAAAAAAGTCTTGTCTGACTCAGTTTTAAGAAAATCCATTTAAATTTTAACATTTGACACAAACTATTGGCATTTTTAAAACACATTAATAATTAATTAATAAAATCCTTTTAATTAATATAATGCAACCCAGAAAAATGATTAAACAAACACTCTGCAATAATAAAGTAAGAAAAAACAACAACCACTGAACTTTCGTAAACAACATGGCCATGGTTGTGAATGTGTATATGAGTTTGGGAAACCTAAAAACAATAACAACACATTTACATTGACAATAACAACAACAGCAGCAGCAGCAGCAGCAACAAAACAGCAAAAACAAAAGTATCAACAATAATAAAGGCAACGAACGACATCACTAAAGTGAATGCCCTGCATTAGTGACGTCACATAAAAACAAGACCTACACATGCATGTATCATGCATTCAGTCAGGCAGGCAGGCAGGCAGGCATACAATAATGATAACACATCAACAAACAATAATAACAGCAACAATAACGACAATAATAATGTATTAAACAACAAGTGAGTAGAACAGCAACAATAATAATACAACACACTCATACGTATAGGCAGACAGACAGGATGATTGAAACTAAAACTGCCACAAAAAGAAGGCTTCTCTCATGCTTACACACATACATACACACATTCAGTCATGTTACTCTTGGAGTTGCATGACCGGCTGGCTGGTCTATCGGCTTTGGTTGGTTATTTGGTTTCTTTTTCAGTCGTGCACTAGATACTCTGTACAAGCAAAATATAGGCAACAGATGAGTAACAAAACAACAACTATAACAACAAAGTACTTATACATTACAGCAAATGCTGCATGTATGCATGCATGATAATGCAACAAACAAACGCAGCACACATTTCGTATAAATTTTCAAAACAAACCGGCTAAAAAAAATTTAACAACAAACTTCCACAATAAATATTGCAAAAAACAACAACAACTTTGCAATTACTCTTTGTTTTCTTTCTTCACTGCACCACTACATTAAAGTTCCCTTTTCCTTTTATGTGGTTTGTTGTGATACTTTTTGTTGTTGTTTGCTTGCTTGCTTGAAAGCGGTAGAATATGAAGAGCAAAATAAAAAAATCCTAAAGAAATATTAAAAGCAAAACAGAAAATTGCAAATAGAAATTGTAAATATGGGTAAAGAAGGAAAACAAAGAGAAAGACATTAAAAAAAGATTTTGAAAACAGATGAACGTACATTGATCTATAAAAACAAATTAAAGAAAAAAACAAAAACATTAAAGAACCATAACAAAAAAGTTTGAAAGCAAGTTGTGATAGACAACGATCTTGCAAATACCCTAACAAAAGCTTTAGAGAAACTTAATGAAAACGAAGCTTTAAAAATAATAAATGAACTTTGGACAGAGACTTAATAAAAAATTATTCATTAAATGGTAAGCTTTAAAAGTGATAAAATAACTTTTGACATATATATTTTTAAAGCTTTTTGATAGACTTTTTCTGCTTTATTATTATTATACGTAAAAGCTTTTACTAAAACTATTCAGTTTTTGAAGATTCTAAAAACTTAACAAAACTTCTATTTGTTAAAGCTTTTGGATAGACCTTTTCTGTATTTCAAAAGCTAAGAAAATCAGACTTTTATAAAGAAGTTTTTAGCATTATTCTTTTTGCATTTAAAAGCTTTTACTAAAATCTTTGGAAAAAAACTAAGCTTTTATTTTGCAATTATGTATTTGTCTTTTAAACTTAACGATGCTTACTTTCCATGTTAAAAGCTTTTTTCATCTTTGAGACTTTCCCCCGTAAACCATCACTGCCATACCTAACCAATGTAGGGCACTTTGGAGTGGAACGAACTTTAGTAAACTGCATTTACAAGCAGCAGAAGCAGATGAGCAAGAGGAAAACGACAGGGCAAAGAAAAAAAGTAAAGCAACGAACGATAAAATGTAAACAACCATGATGTGTTTGCAGCACGTACGATGTAGTAAAAAATTGTGGAAATAAAAAACTATAATAAAAACAAAAAACATATGAGAGAGTACCACACTAGTAAAACTGGTATAAGTAAATATACATATATGTATATAATCTATATGTATGTGAGCACAGTGTTACAAATGTAGCAACAATAACAATTATATATTCACATTACTTTTAAGGGCTTAGAAAAACCGTTAGTAGAGCTTTTATGGTATAGCTCAAGTTCATGAACTTATTATGCTTTAACAGACTGAAAATTTAACTTAAGGATCAACACAACTCTTTCTGAGCTTTTAACTTGTACATTAAATTTTTCCACAACAGTTTTTCGGATGCAAAATTGTAGTAAATCTAATAAAGCGCTTATGTAGTTTGCGCCTCCTCGAACGAACTACTGTGCGTATGAGCTTTTTTCGCGTGTTTTCTTTTTTTGTATACATATATTTATACGTAATGTAGTGCAATAACCAACAATTAAATAAACGAAGTTGTAGTTCTTTGTATGTAAAAGGATGCATAAACAAAAATATATCTATTTAAAAACAGATGAAAATCAGCACGAACACTTGATTAAAGTTTTCAACAAAAACATACTCTACTATTGATCATAAACAAAAAAAACTTTCAACTTAGACGATTTTAGAATGTTTACAGAAAGTTATAGGAAAAAGGGTCTAAAACAAAAAAGAATAGAAATAAATTGGAATAGTGTTGCAAGTTTAAATACTTGTACTAGGAAAAAACAACAATAATAACAACAAAAGGAAATATAGATAACAAAGAAACAAGTACTTAAGCACTCGGCTTTAAAAACAGAAAATAACCATCACACATTAAATAAGAAAAAAGTCTAAAATATCGCACAGTGGGGCTAAGAAAACGGAATAAATAGGAAATAATTTTAAAATTTGTGGATAAATATTTTTGAAATATAAACCAGAATTGAACAAGGTCTGAACTAGAACAGAACTAGAACAGAACTAGAACAGAACTAGAACAGAACTAGAACAGAACTAGAACAGAACTAGAACAGAACTAGAACAGAACTAGAACAGAACTAGAACAGAACTAGAACAGAACTAGAACAGAACTAGAACAGAACTAGAACAGAACTAGAACAGAACTAGAACAGAACTAGAACAGAACCAGAACAGAACTAGAACAGATCTAGAACAGAACAAGAACAGAACTGGAACAGAACTAGAACAGAACTAGAACAGAACAAGAACAGAACTAGAACAGAACTAGAACAGAACTAGAACAGAACTAGAACAGAACTAGAACAGAACTATAACAGAACTAGAACAGAACAGAACTAGAACAGAACTAGAACAGAACTAGAACAGAACTAGAACAGAACTAGAACAGAACTAGAACAGAACTAGAACAGAACTAGAACAGAACTAGAACAGAACTAGAACAGAACTAGAACAGAACTAGAACAGAACTAGAACTGAACTAGAACTGAACTAGAACTGAACTAGAACTGAACTAGAACTGAACTAGAACTGAACTAGAACTGAACTAGAACTGAACTAGAACTGAACTAGAACTGAACTAGAACTGAACTAGAACTGAACTAGAACTGAACTAGAACTGAACTAGAACTGAACTAGAACTGAACTAGAACTGAACTAGATCTGAACTAGAACTGAACTAGAACTGAACTAGAATCTGAACTAGAACTGAACTAGAACTGAACTAGAACTGAACTAGAACTGAACTAGAACTGAACTAGAACTGAACTAGAACTGAACTAGAACTGAACTAGAACTGAACTAGAACTAACTAGAACTGAACTAGAACTGAACTAGAACTGAACTAGATCTGAACTAGAACTGAACTAGAACTGAACTAGAACTGAACTAGAACTGAACTAGAACTGAACTAGATCTGAACTAGAACTGAACTAGAACTGAACTAGAACTGAACTAGAACTGAACTAGAACTGAACTAGAACTGAACTAGATCTGAACTAGAACCGAACTAGAAGTGAACTAGAAGTGAACTAGAACTGAACTAGAACTGAACTAGAAC